GAAGAAGCTAGAATTTTCTGCTTCTTCCCAAAAGCAGAAAAACTGCTTCTGCTGCTGGCAAAAAGTACTTTTCTGTATTGGCCAAACAACTCAAATTTTTTAAAAAGTACTTTTTTGAGGAAAAAAAAAATACTTTTGACCTCCGAGAAGCTTGGCCAAATAGGCTCTTATTAATCTTTCATAAGTATAGCCTTCTAAAACGCTAAAAAAAGTATTGATGTTAAAAGCATCATTAAGTTCTATAATTGCATACAAATAATTACATTAATTGGCCTCAATAAATTTATTTGTAAAAACAAAAGGATATGAAGGTTTGTGCATTTCTTTCCTTTTCTTCACGCTAATAAATGTTGCACAATATATATTTTTCATTCAAGCGCTTACTAAAATTATAGTTTCCGCTACAAATATGTAAAATTAGCAGAGTACAATAAAGAAAAAAGAACTACAATAATGACCATGTTGAAGGCTATCTTACACGATAATTCGCAGAGATCCTCGTGAGTTAATTTCCTTTTTCAACCTCTTATTACATATATAGTTTCTTCATTAAATAAATTAAATAAAAATTATTGGAAGTGAAATTGCCGGTTAAGAAGACTGCCAACTATTTAAAGTTTTCAAAAAATAAAATAAAAGAAACATCAAAAATATTGAACTACCTTCTCGTTAATTATCCGATTTAATTAAAATAAGAAAAGAAACCAAATAATAAGAATACGAAAATAAACGAATTAAAGAGAATAAACGGTTAGGAATTTGAAAAACAATAACGAACATCATGAAATAATTACACATAATATATTATATATCAGCACAAATGTACTACTAATACTAAATAATTATAGGAGAAGGGAAAAAGAAAGATAAAATGATGCACAAGATAATATAAAGAACATGCAGAGCAATCATATTTTTGAGACCTAGGGGAGTAAAAAAGGACTAACAGATAGAAAACATAATCAGATATATCCAAAGATTACAAATAAAACGATAAAAAAGAAAAAGCAAGAGCGCATTGATATCAAAGAACCCCCTTATGGTCTATAATGTATAGTAAAGCAAGCTTATTCATTGCATAATATGCTAGAACCTATATGAGAATTAGCCTCAAAAACTGATCTCAAATATAATATTAATTGGAAAATAAATTATATTTGAGCGTTATAAGGTAGAAGACGAACCTGAGTATGCATTAGTGATGCCAGCTACGGGATGCTATTTTGTCGAATAAACCTTCTCCCCAAAAAATATGCAAAGTCTCAATACTTTGCAAGTAAGAATTTAAATAACAGTAAAATAAAATGAATAATTACCAGACTAATTTTAAGTGAGTATAAAAAACTAATAAACTATTCAATTATAAGAAGAAGAAGTTACCCGTTGAATTTTAGTGGCAAGTTTGGTTCAGGCACTGGCGCAGAATTTTAGTGCATTGGTTACTGAAGATCCCCATTCTTAGAGCTATATTTCTAGGTTTATATATTGCATAAATTGATCACTGAATTAATGATTCAGACTTTTAGGCTTCTAACTGAAAATAATGGGAGAGAAAGAAGAGTAACGGAGGGAGGTATAATTAAGAGAATGTAATTAAGAATGAATTTTGGATTTTCTAATGTAGAACACAAATATGTAAAATGTCAAAAATTTGAGAAAAAAGATAAATGTGGTTCTCGGCCAAAGAAACATGCCATTTCAATTTTTTAAAGCCCTCCTTTATATATATAGAGAGAGATAAATAGCACGTAAATAAGTCGCAAAATTGCAAGAAAACCGTCAACGAAAAACAAAAATATTTTATTTTTTTGATTACTATGATATAGAAATACCCAGAAAAGGTAAATTATGAAATTCAAATACAAACACCACGTAACAACTTACAATAGGAATTGGTAAAATTTTGGCCCTAGATTATATTTGGCAGAGGCAGCCCCAAAAAAATGGCATGGTATAGCCAAATCCCAAAAATAAACTAATTCCCTATTTATTCTCTCCCCATAACCCACCTCAACTTCTCTTTGTCGTCTCCCTCTTCCTCTCTCTCTCCCTTTATTTCTTCTTCTGTCTCTCCACCCTTGATGAATTAAAGTTTTACTTTTATTGCAACGACAAGCCTTTGCAAGATAGTATTAGAACAGTTCTTAATATGTTAGAACAAGTGCATAAATATATCAAGAGATCCCAAGAGTGATTCAAACGAGATCTAATTTGTTTTTCCATGAATTCTCGAGTCTGTGCAAATGATTGAAATGGATTTAAACCTCATGTAACATTCAAATTCCAAAGTATCAAAACTCGAAAGCAAAAGCTCAAAAAGCGTAAAGGAGAAGTTGTTGATCGCTGCTATTGTGGCATATGATTTTGGATGGAGGTTTGCTTTTCTCCATTAGATTTTAGTGCTAGAATGGAGTATTAAAGTGCCATTTCTTTTTTTTTTTCTTTTTTTTTTTTATATAAATTTTTGGCATTTCGTGAATTTAGAACAACATATTGGTAGGTTTCAAGATATATACAGTCCTAAAATTGGCATTGGACAGAACTTCATACTTTTTTCCTCTTCTTTTTCTTTTGATTAAGAAAATAATTCTAATTCTCATTTTGTATATCAATATATCTCCAGCAAATTGTGTATATCCACAAGAAACTATATGTTATACACTGAAATATACAAAGAACAAAGAATATCTTTCATTTATATTTTGATATACAAAAAAAAATTGATATACATTTTGATATACGCGAAGAATAAAATAAACTTGTATTATATATTTGGTATACACGGTATTTGATGTGTTATACACTGTGATATATAAATATTACAATTATTTTTGTTATGATATACATTGATATACAGATAAAAATAAATTTTAAATAATTCTATTTATCATTTATATTTTATATAATAAAGAAGACAAATAAAATTTTAATATATATTTTCATATATAAAAAAGAAGAAAAATAAAGTTGTGATATACATTTTGATATACACGAAGAATAAAATAAACTTGTATTATATATTTGGTATACACAGTATTTGATGTGTTATACACTGTGATATATAAATAATACAATTATTTTTGTTATGATATACATTGATATACAGATAATTTTTTTTTTTAAATAATCCTATTTATCATTTTATATAATAAAGGAGGAAAATAAAATTTTAATATATATTTTTATATATAAAAAAGAAGAAAAATAAAATTGTGATATACATTTTGATATACATATTATTGTTCTGATATACATTTATAGGCTATTTGTGCCAATATCTATAACTAGGGCTATTTTATGTCAATTGTGTGAGTACATTGTCACACCATGCTAAAACCCCATGAAACAAACCCAGTGTACCCGAATCCAAAACCCATGTTTATACTAGCAAAATTCTACTAGGAAAAGCTTAAGTAAATCAGAGGGATAAATTCAAAATAGCCAGATTTACCATTGGTCGTTGAAAAATAGCCAAGTTTCAAAAGTCATCGAAATTTAGTCACTTTAAATCTGAGCGAAAATACTGTTCAAAATCCGGAAAAATACGCCCGCAAATTTTACGGGAGTTCCAGCATAAGTATGCTTGAACTCTCGTAAATTTTACGGGAGTTCCAGGATAACTATGCTGGAACTCCCGCAAATTTTATTGGAGTTCCAGCAAGTATAATTGTCCAGTATAATATACTGGAGTTTGGAGCACTGATGCTCCAGTCTCCCGCAAATTTTACAGGAGTTAGCAAAGTATACCGGTCCAGCATGATATGCTGGAGTTCTTACACAAATACACCAGAACTCCCGTATATTATACTGGACCGGTTCCTGTTGTAGCAAAATAGTGGCTATTTTTCATTGACTTGATAAACGCTGGCTATTTTTCATTGACAAATGTGAAAACTGGTTATACCATAATATTTTAACTAAATCAGATGTAGCCGCCATTGACACGAATGATCTGTCCATTAACCCATTCAGAAGCGTCGCCGGCCAAAAACCCAACCACCGGTGCAACATCCTCCGACTGACCAAGTCTTCCCTGTGGGCATTCGTCAATCACCTTTTTTACCATTTCCTCCATTTTCCCGTAGAAAAACATATCCGTCGCTATTGGTCCCGGCGCCACACAGTTCGCCGTTATTCCCGTTCCTTTTAGCTCCTTCGCCAGTATTTTAACCATTGCTTCCACCGCCGCCTTAGACGCCGTGTACGCCCCGTTCCCAGGCCTAAACGACGCCGCTGCAGACGATGTTAAGCATATAATCGTCCCACCTCCGCCGCGCTTGATTCTGTTGGCTCCTTCTTTACAGCATATGAAAGCCCCACGCGCGTTCACGCTAAAAATCCTATCGAAATCCTCGACGGTTGTGTTACTGACCGTTGGGTACTTCGCGTTTGCTACGCCCGCGGAGTTGACTAAGATGTTGACCGGCGATGGAAATGCTGATTCCGCAGTGTCGAAAAGGGACTTTACTTCGTCCGGGTCTGAGATATTGGCTTTGACGGCAATGACGCGTGGGGAATTGGAGCCGGAATTGATTTGAGATACGACGTCGTTGGCTTGAGTGGAGTTAGAGGAATAGTTGATGACGAGTTTAGCACCAAGAGAAGCCAAATGAAGTGCAATCGCTTTGCCTATGCCACGAGAAGAGCCTGTAACAATGGCTACACGATCTAGGAGTGAGAAATTTTGGCCTTCGGTTGTTTGCTCATGAACGGCCACGTTTTCATATTTTTCCGCCATGATTGAAAAAATTAAAGCGCTGAAATTGCTAGAGAAGATGGAGAGACACTGAATGTATTGCACTGAAAAGGGTTACGCCGAGTCGTTGAGTTTAACTGTAATAAATACTTGGATTTTGAAAATATATGGGAAAAGGTTAAAATAAGGTGAGAGTAATTTAGTTTTAGAATGGTAATTAAGGACTTGAAGAGGGAATCATGAAAAGATTAGTACATAAGTAAAGGCTTTTAATATGGAGAGCTTAGAATAAGAAAAAGAATTAATCTGAAAAATTATGAAAATGTTATGAAATAATAAAAGAAGAAGAAGAGTATTATAGAGAAAAGTAGAGAGAGAATTCTTATTGATATGTGATGAATTACAATAGAATAGAACCCTCTATTAATAGGGAAAGGGTAACTTAGCCACCAAGCAATAAACCCTAGAATCTCTCTAAATATAGATATTCACTATAAATACAATTCTATTTATAACACTCCCCCTTGAATGTCTATTCAAGCGATAATGTGCCTCGTTAAAACCTTAACTAAAATAAAATCCAGTGGGAAAAAAATTATAGAGAAGGAAAAAGAGTACACATATCTAACAATACGCCTTTTGGTTGCCTCGTTAAAAACCTTGCAAGGAAAACCCAGTGGGACAAAACCTTGTAAGGGAAAAAAAGTACAACGCGTATTAACTTCCCTGATGAGAGCATCAATTTACATCCTTAAGCATTTGCATTCCAATCTTGTGCAACATCTTCAAAAGATCGTTGAAAGAGATTTGATAAACAAATCAGCCATATTAACTTTCTTGATAGAGATGTAATGTCTTCATATAATGTCGTGGAATGACTTTTCAATATCTCCATAGAGGTATTCTCGCTATCACATTATCATGCTTATAGTTATAGCAAGATACATATGTGCACAAATTGCATTTAGGATATGGTACTTCATGACCATGAATTCTATATGCTTTAAGCAATTTAAATCCTTCAAGGATTTTTAAGTCATATAATAGACTGTAGATGCATATCAAGTTTTCATGTCATGCTAGACATATAAGATATCCAAAACTGATTGCACATATCATTGACTTTATACTTCCAAGTGTTTGAATTGTAGGTCCAAAACAACATGTCTTTCATATGAAATCAATTCTACTTGAATTGTTTCTCTTGACTTAAGATCCTCATATATATTTAGCGTTATTATAGATATCATCGACAAACATTTTATATCGGTTCCAACCTCCTTATTTTTCATAAAGACATAACATAGAGATCTCTTCATTCATATGTTTAGGTACCTGAGTCTTTCATGAGATTTTATGAAGTGTTATGTCATGTGATCTTCTAGATCACTTGCCTCCTTTATTATGATCATTTTGATCATTTGCTCACCTTCTTTATCAAGAAGTTTATTTGAAACCGATATGTCTATACGCTTTAAGCGTACCATAGACTCTGTCCTTCTAGGACTTATTATAATAGGAGCATTTGCAGTGAGAATATAATTACTTTCTTTGGGTCAGCAAATGTATCTGGCATGCTTTGCAATAAATTGCACATGAATTATCCTTTTATGAACTTCAAATTCATATTATTTTATTCGAGGATCTAGATGTATAAATGATAATTCATTCCCTGTAACTTTTTCTCAACTGTTGTATCTTGTCTCCCCCTCATGTTAGAAAAAACTAACTTGTTTCCTCAACTTTGAGAACTCATCTTTGTGCGTTATGGTGTTAATCAAAATATACACCGCACATCAATAATAATAAGATGGAATTATTTGGTTCCTGATCATGAACCACTTGTGAGGGGAGAAAATAATATACTTTCGTATATAACGTATATCAAACTGATATACAAAACTTTGTTCTCATAAGCAATTGTTTAGCTATTAAGTGGAGGCACTCAATAAATCATTTGCTAAACCAGCTGTGATGTAGACCAACTTATCAAGATGAACTTCTTGAATAGAAAATCTGGAATATGCTGTAAATTAAATTATTGAGCAAGTTACCTCGCAAATACCATATTGCGAGTTAATAATAATCGCACATGTAACCATCTCATAGATGCATCTTATGTGGTATACATGGCAGGTGAATGGGCCCATATTCACCTTTGATATTTCCAGCATTCATGGGATTCAATCCCAATTTTAGTTGATCTATTAATTAATGAGAACAAGCAATATAAGAGAATTCGTAAAGAACTTTCTAGTTCTTTAATATTTACCCATGTGAATTCTCTATTATTTTTGCACATCATACTTAAATTGATATGGCTAAACCAATTATGCCAACTGAATAAATTATCAGTATTGATAAACTTCAGATTTATACCATGACATGTGCAATTATCAATAAACTCCAAGTTTATTATGATATGGGTTTTTATATCAATAAACATCCACTTTAGTATGATATTCTTTTATTTGTGTAGTACAAACTGGAGAATAAAGCGGGTAATTTTTCATATACATATTACCCCGCTACAAGTTGTAGTAATAGAAAATATCAAATCTTTCCTTTATTTATAGTCTCAATATAACCAATCGCTTTCGCGTATACTTTGGAAACTGAATAAGTTTCTTTGAGAATTACTACAACACAATAAATTGACATGATAATCAATTGTATTCCTCCAAAATAGTAATAATGGCTCTTCCAGAGCTCTCAATTAATTTAGTACTACCACATATTCATCAACATCCATGTGGTGAATATCTCTTTTAAAAGAAAAGTTATACCATTATGATTATGGTCAAAATTATATGCAAGATATGTTTCTTGCATTAATGTTATTCTTTAATAATCACATTACCAAAATATTTTGGCGTATGTACGTGACCAATGACCATTCATGCCATAATAATGACATTATTTTCTTATATCATATCAAGCCTCCTTCTAGAGGTGAGTGTGGTATATTCACTACCACTAGCACGCTCATATTCTTCCAAGAAAGAATATGTATTTATAAATCAGATGTTGTCACATTCACATCATGAATGGATCATAATCATCTATACGTGCTTTATAAATCTCATGTCAAATCGATGGCACATATTACTTTCACAGAGTGAAGGATTATTTTGAGAATCCTTATTATTCTCATTATTACAATGATTACGATTATAATATCGTATATTGCCACGTCCACATCCATTGATATATTCATAGTAATAATTTGTCTTCTTTCAGACTTATCACATACTGCTATCACATTCTCTTAAGGGAATGAGAATGGAGAAAATTCAATGGGACGGGTTTTCAATAGTTTGCCCACAATCATACATGAATATGATCATAGAAAGACAGAGAAGTTTTACCACTTCGGGTGGTTATAATTTCTTATTAACTCCATTAGATTTATAATTAAAATTTATTGTCTTTGCTTGTATTTAAAATCAAATTATAGAATAAAAGAGAAAAATATGATAAAATACTTACCTTAAATCCAGAATTTAATCATGAAGGAAGTTCATGGAACCATTGGCAATTATTATGCTCAATCCCAAAGCTTCTACTCAACTGATTAGAGTCTCGTGCTGATAACGTGTTATGAACAATAAAAGAAGAAGAAGAGAAAAGTAGAGAGAGAGAATTCTTATTGATATGTGATAAATTACAATAGAATAGAACCCTCTGTTAATAGGGAGAGGGTAACTTAGCCACCAAGCAATAAACCCTAGAATCTCTCTAAATATAGACTGTCACGACCCAAAATCCAGTAAGGATCATGGTGGCGCCGGACACCGATGTCAGGCAAGCCAACTAAAATACTTAATTAGATTCCGAATTTTAACAATTTTGAAAGCCAAGATTTTCCTTTAAATTTCATAAGTAAAAAGATAACTGCCTCAATTCAAATTAAATAATAAGCAATCAATACAAAATATTTCAAAACCATCTCAGAACCCGGTGTCACAAGTGCATGAGCATTTAGTAAGACAGAAATAAAATACAACATCCGTCCGGAATACAATGGACAGAAAGTAAATATATTATGCTGGAAAAGGGACTATACTAGCTGCAGGCTGCCTCGAACAATGCAACTCACCTAGTCCCAGAATCATCCGCGCTGCTACGCCCAATAGGCCACTAACAACACATGAACATGTGCAACAAAAATGCACAGGAGTGTAGTATGAGTACGAAAATAATGTGTACTCAATGAGTATCCCGCCTAATCTCGAAGAAGTAGAGACGAGATGGTCGACTTCGACACTTACTAAGGGTCCAATAATGTGATGTCAATAAAACAATAAATCGCGGATTTCTATAAACATGATTTTAATCCAATAGAAGGAAACAAGTAAACAATTAATTTCTTTTATATGAAGTTTTCCCAAAATTTCCTTTTCATTATTTATCCAATTATTCTCAAGCCGTCAAGAGGCTATAACAACTTTAATAAGTTTCAAGGCAAGCAATACAAGCATGCGCAAATAATCACCGTGGGACGTACGGCCCGATCCAACATAAAAAGTAAACTGTGCACTGCCGAGGGTCGAACGGCTCGAACCATAGATGCATCTATTACCCCGCTCGCGAACTATCCATGCGACGCGGTCAACATAAAATAAACAATCACCCTGCTCACGAATCCTTCATGCAACGCAGGTACACATAAAAATACATGCTCAAATAGATAATTAAGAATTTATCGGGGAATAATTATTCAAATAAAAGCCACTTTTTCTTTTAACAATTTACGAAAAGAAGTCAAATCCTTTTGAGCATGGATTTATTAATTCGATGTGGTTTAAGCAATTCGAGCTATCAATAAGATTACAAATGTTCCAAGTATAGCAGGCTTTTGGGTCCTAGGCTACCCGGACTTAAACATAATAGTAGCTACGCACGGACTCCCGTCACCTCGTGCGTACGTAACCCCCACAAATAGGAGCACATAACCAATTAGTTCACCTATGGGGACATTTCTCCCTTACAAGGTTAGAAAGGAGACTCACCTCGCTCCGAAGATCCAAACCGGCATTCTA